AGAATTTCAAATGAACACTATTTTTATTTTGTCCAAACTAATAGTCATGAAAATAAAAATGCTAGAAAGTTAATTTTCGTGTTCAGTTACATGTGTAAGTCACTGTATATATTATTTTTATTCAAATAGGATCACTGGAGATCGAGATATTACGACCGGTTCATTTTTTTTGACGATCATTTCTAACGAAAAATTGATCGACAAATAAGAGTCGGTTACTTTAGAATGTAATCCAGCGATCGATTTGCCTAGATTCAGCAAATCGAATGGTAGTTCAAATCGGATAACTAGATATCGAGATATTATGATCTGTGACCAATTTATTGAATTTGGTGCATGAAAGTTTATGAATACACCAATCTATAAAAGGCATCATGATCAGCATTTGTATCCAGAAATTTTCATAACATTACACATGATTTTCGGAAAGTTATTGGGGGGGGGGGTCAGTTACTTTTGCGGCATATTGTACAATCTATAAATAGAAGTGTGATTTGAAATGTAAATCTGCGGGTCCCGAAAAAATCGTTCAATAATTAATTAGTCCAATGAGTTTGAACGCCACTTTCAATTCTATCAAATTTTACATCATTACAGAAGCATGACAAAATACAAAAAGAAATTACATAAAGAAATTAATATAGATATACAAAAATGATTAGATAAATGTAGTCTTTCATTTGTTAATTAACGACCAAGGTCCAACTGTAGTCTATGATTTAATTATTCGAACAATTAAATCACCAGCTGACAAAGAATCGCTTTCCTTGACTGCGACATAATCAACTTTTCCAGAAACTGAAGATGAAACTACTGTTTCCATTTTCATAGCCGAGAGAACGCAAATTGGATCGCCTTCTTTAACTTCAGTTCCTTCTATAATGATTATTTTAAATTCAATTAATCTATAAATTTTTAAAATTGCCAAAAAAAAAGAATACTAACCACTTGTTCTAACTTCAATCACTACTCCTGACATAGGGGCCCCGATTTCTCCAGGATTATTGGGATTAGCTTTCAGGCGTTGTACGTGTTCTACAGCTGAATTAATAAAAGATATCATATAAGTAAATTGAATATAATTTCAAGAATATATATTAAAATAAAAGATCTACCAGCACTACGATCCTCTATCGCGACAGGTCTAGCTTCACCATTCAATTCGAAAAATACTTCTCTCTTTCCACTAGAGGTATTTAATGAACCAACGGCCAAAAATTTGATAATTAAAGTTACCCCTTCTTCGAGCTCAATACTGATTTCTTCGCCAATATCCGGTTTCGAAAGAAAGTAGCGAGTAGGAATAACCGAAAGATCACCATATTTTTCGATTTGTTCCCTAAGTTCAGCAAAAACTTTAGGATAAATAGCTGCTGAGGATACATCTACATCTCGAATAGTTCTTCCGTATTTTTGGGTTAACTCGACTTTGAGGGCAGATAGATCTAAATCTTTCATAGTAGCACCAGGTCGTCCTTCAATTCGTGGAAGGTCTCTTATAATCTATGAGGATAAATCAAAGTTAAGATATTCAATGTTTCCTCAAAGGGTAAAAATTTTTGTGGGCCAAAATAAAACTTACATCAGATCTTAGAGGTTCTGGGAACCCTCCGTATGGCTGTCCTAGGTATCCCTGAAAGAATTCAACTACCGAAACTGGAAAAGATAAATTTTTAGCTTTTTCGATTACCTAAAACAAATAATATATGTTAAGTGAATCTTCTATAACAAATCAATATTTTTTATATAACTTACATCAAAATAATTCAATTTGTTGGTCACCATAAATTGAGCAAGATCACCGACAACCTTAGAACTTGGTGTGACTTTCACAATATCTCCGCAAAGTTTATTAGCTTCTGTATAGGCTTTCTTAATCTCTTTCCACATCTTTCCAAGACCAAGTTGTTGAGCTTGAAACATTAAATTTGTGTATTGTCCACCAGGCATTTCATGTTCATATACTGAGGAATCAGCAGCCAAAACTCCAGATTCAAAGCAACTATAAAGCATGCGAACTTGCTCCCAATACTCATTCAACGCATGTACATCCTCCAATCGAATTCCTGTGCCAAGTTCTGTATTATCGAGTGCAGAAACAACCGCTCCCATCGAAGGCTGTGATGTAATTCCAGACATGCCTTTATAATTGAGAGACGAGCATAAAATAATTTGGCGTTAGTAATTTTCATAGCCGTTAGATAAATTAGTTAACTCTGATGATGAAAAACATACTATCTATGGCCAAATCGATAACATCAGCACCAGCAGCCGCGGCAGCTAACATACTAGCTACTCCTGTTCCGGCGGTATCGTGAGTATGTACATGAATTGGTAAATCGGGCCAGCGTGCTCTGATAGCACCGATCAGTATTTTAGCAGCTTCAGGTTTCAATAATCCTGCCATATCTTTTATCGCAAGAACATGGATCCCTTCATTCACTAATTCCTGAGTCAAATTCATATAATATTCAAGATTATGTTTCTTTTTATTTGGATTCGATACATCGCCTGTGTAACAAATAGCAGCTTCAATGACACCACCAGCTTTTTTTACAGCATCGATTCCCAGCCGCATATTTGCCACGTAATTCAAAGAGTCAAATATCCGAAAGATATCCATTCCAGTTTCTTTGGCGCGTTTACAAAAATCATAGATTACATTATCAGGGTATGACGTGTAACCTACAGCGTTGGCACCACGAAGTAACATTTGAAAGGGAATATTTGGTACGAGGGCACGCATTTTTGCCTATAGATTAGATTGTTAAAAAAACTAAGAAAATGGTTTCAATAATTTTAATTATATTGAAGCATACCAAACGATCCCATGGATCTTCGTATAAGAAACGCATTGCAACATCAAAAGTTGCTCCACCCCAGTTCTCCAATGAGTATGCGTTAGCAAGTCCATGAGCTGTATGTGGAGCAATGTTTAACAGATCTAATACAAACATAGATATCCAGATCTTGTTAATTTTATTGCAATAATATTATTATTTCAGTTACAAATAAAGGTATAACATACCTATAGTCCTGACTCTCGTTGCCAATAAACTTTGATGTGCATCTCTCCATGTTGTGTCCATAATTAGAACACCAGGATATCGACGCACAGCCTTGGCGAAGGCTTCTGGACCTTGCTCAACAAGTAAATGGCGCCATCCATGGGAGGGTGGATGACGTAAATCAACAGATTCTGGACCCGCAAGAGAACGAATAGTAGGTAAGAGAATGGGCTGCTTGAAACTAGGTTCACCCTAATTTTAGCAAAATATTCAATGAGAAAATTAATAGTTTCAATAATAATTGTTAATTTTTATAAAATCGTTTACTCACAATTTGTCCTTTGATACTACTACCATTGACAACGACATCGCCCAAATATCGTAGAATCTTTTGGGCACGATTCTTGCTCCCAACTAATTTGAATAAATCCGGAGTATCATCAATAAATGTTGTCCATGTCTTTCCGGAATTAAATACTTCGTGAGTTAATAATCTTTGTAAGAAAGGAATGTTAGTTTTCACTCCACGAATTCGAAATTCTACTAATGTTCGAAACATTTTCCGACGTGCGACCTCATAGTTACTACCCCGAACAGTGACTTTTACAAGTAATGAATCATAATGCGGGCTAATTACTGCCCCGGCATAACCAGCACCACCATCAAGGCGTACTCCATTTCCACCAGAAGAACGATACACTTCAATCTTTCCAGTATCAGGCTGAAAATTTTGTGAAGGATCTTCAGTGGTCACGCGACATTGAATGGCACAACCACGTATTTGAATACGTTGCTGTGAAAGAGAAAGTTGCGAAAGTGTTGCACCAGCAGCTATTTGAATTTGTGCTGCAACTATATCAATTCCAGTGATTTCCTCTTTAACAATAATCAACGAGATTATATCTTATTAGTAATTATCAAAGAAACATCTTTTCGTCCAAAATAATCAATGAAATTTTTACCCGTAATTGTATGTTCAACTTGAATTCGAGGATTTATTTCAATAAAATAATGTCTATTTTTTTGATCGAGTAGAAACTCTGCTGTTCCGGCGTTTCGGTATCCTACAGCTTTGGCAAGTTTAATAGCATCGTCTAAAATAGCATTACGAACTAATGTCTTAAATTTAAAATGAATTCTTTAGAATTGAAATAAACCAAGATACAGTCAAAGATGGATATGACGATACAGTCGCGAACATATGATTTTTTTTGAAATATCGTTATAAAGAGCAGAAATTTTATATTGTGATATAAAATAGGCAATATGAATTTTATTGCTATAATATAGATCGTTATATTCACCTTTGATTAATAATCAGTTATGCTGATTGATATAATTACCTCGAGTTCCATAGCTGGCGCTACTTCCACTACTTTTTGATGTCTACGTTGAACAGAGCAATCTCGTTCAAAAAGATGAATCACATTTCCAGCGTTGTCTGCTAGCAATTGTACTTCAATATGTCTAGGCTTATCCAAAAAACGTTCAAGGAAAACAGTTCCATCTCCAAAAGCAGATAGAGCCTCGGATTTTGCACGCTCAAAGGAATCAGCCAGAGTTGCTTTTTCACGAACAACTCTCATGCCACGGCCACCGCCACCCATCGCAGCTTTTATAATGACTGGAAAACCATATTCAGCAATAAAAGCATCAGCTTCGGCCAAGGTGGAAATAGGGCCAGGTGTACCTGGTACAACTGGAACTCCACACTCAATTGCTTAATACATAAAAAAGTCGTTTATTATTAATTTCTAAATTCGATTTTTTCTTAATGTTAATACGCGTAAAAAATATGTATGTAATATGATAGTTTGAAAAGTGAATCGATAAAAAATTTAAATTAATAATAAGCATGTAAGAAAGCTCACCAATCTGTCGTGCTTTCGTTTTATCACCCATTTTTTCAATTACCTCCGGTGTAGGACCTACAAATGCCATTCCAGCAGCTTCAACTTTTCGCGCAAATTCTGCATTTTCACTGAGAAATCCATAACCCGGATGAATCATTGAAACACCACGAAGTTTCGCAATACGAATGATTTCTTCTTGCGCAAGATACGCACCGACCGGTGTATATTTTCCCTGAATCGCTATTTGATATGCCTCATCGGCTTTATATCGATGCATTGACAATCGATCTTCATAACTAAAAATTGCGACTGTTTTCATAGACAGTTCATGAACTGTTCGAAATATTCGAATGGCTATTTCCTATTGAAATAGAAATGACAAAGAAAGACTTCATTATGACTCGAGTGAGTTTGCGCAGAGGAAAGAAAAATTGATTTTTACACCACGGTTAGCCACCATGAGTTTCTGCAAATGCCCCAATACTTGAGTATTGCGCCGAATTGTATCTAGTGAATGTTCTTGATCCATTTTTACGAGTCAGCTAATGCTAAGAATCCAAACTTTTAAATTTAGTTTAATTTGATTATCATTTCATCTAGTATCCAATCATCATTTTAGCAGATCAGATGTGGATAATCTTGATATCATGATTATTTATTAATTGGTTACAAAATAAATAAAGTACAAATGTTTCACAAATCGTGGAAGTATTCTAAAGTCAAAATCGCATACGTGTTTAGATGTCGGTATATTTCCATATAATTGTTGTGCCCAAATCACAATTCGCCCCAATCGACAATTGGAATATATCCCAAATCAAAATCTAAACTAAATATAGCATATCCCCCAGCACTAACCCTGACCCTTACCCTAACTCTATTCTAATTGTGATTGTGATTTGGGCACAACATAATCACCAAATTCAATTGCTGACTTTTTTTTTACCTAAAATTAAACGCGGTTTTCATTCAAATTTTCAACTGAATCACATAATGTACTGTATTGATACGAATTTAGAGGCCATAAATGACCATTTCCATGCCTAATAGCATCAAAATTAAACAGATTTATGAAGTATATGTTAAATTATTTAATGAAGTCATCATATAAATAGCAGATACTCACGAACTTCCTATTGGAATAAGCCAAATATACCATTTTGAACCCATCACTTGTAGAAAATTAGCCCTGATTTTGTTTAGAAAACAGATTATAAAAAGGTAAAACTTAAAATCATAAATTAATGGATGAATAATAGTTACTAACCTTTTCCCAATATCAAATAAATTCAAATATTTATTAGATGTGACTTCACTATTCTCTTTTATTTTATAACGCTGTTGTTGTAAATTCTCAAGTGTAGTTTGATTGGATAAAATGAGTGTTGTATGATAAATAGTAAATCCTGAAAGACAAAGTGCAAATATAGCACCAACAAGAATCAAAAACGACCAATTCAAATCTAGTTCTAATATTGCCTAAATAGTCATTAAATCGGAATGAGATATTTTGAAGATTGAAAATGGCTAAAAAAAATAAAAAAAAAATACCTCATACGAAGCCGTGAATTCAATGGTTGGTGGTATCGTAGCTAACATTATTAAAAATGAATAGATTGTCGTCCAAGCTAAAAATAAATAAAAATATTTTTGATTGCGGTAACCAATGCAATTGTTAAGCCTAAATAAACAGACAGTGAGTTTTCAGTAAAATAATGCAAATCTTAATCCATGCATTTTATACATACCAAGGACAGTGACTAGATATTAATTTTGTTAGAAAAGGTTAATAGTAAATCCAAAAAAACCCCCAATAATATAACAATAAAAAAATCTTACTGATCCATTTTTAGAATACATCTATAATAAAAACATATTTGTAAATTAATTCCATAAATACTCGTTATTTTTTACGTCAATAAAAATAATTATTAATTCACCTTCTACAGACTCGACAATGATGTGTACGATCAGGTTTAAAACTTTGGCATTTTTTGCAAAATCTCTTTTCCCCATTTTGTTTTACAGTTATTGTCCGTACTGAATTATTATTATTAGCATCATTACTTCCACTATTTGTTTGATTAGAATCTGTGGTGCCTTGATTGGTAGAAGGCATCTCAATAGTCTGAGAATAATGTTGAGATAATGGTTGATATGATGAAAATGAAAGAAATCGAGACTGCGAAATATCTAAACTAGTCTTTATGAATAAAAATTATAAATCTAAATTAATTATAGCTCAGAGAATTCCAATATACTTTAAAGTCTTGTATACTTCATCAGGATAACCAGGTCTCGTGAATACTCCTTGAAGGTAACTCCAAACCATTAGGATGAATATTGGATGATATATTATTAAATAAAATACACCTAAGGTAAAAAAATGATGCAAATAAATTTAAATGGTTTTTAAATTGTGTATATAGTTCAAAGAACCATACCTTGTAGCAGTTTTTTGTCCAGCAAATACAATATACACAAGCGATACACGAATGCATAATAAGACCAAGACATTAGTGCCAACACAAACACCACAGGGAAAAAACTCGCTACTTTGGTTATAAATTGAAAAATCCGATTGGAATGAAAGCGAGTTTCATGATTTTTTTGAGGCTGTACCATCGCGGTTCAACTTTCATAATTCACAAAACGTTATTAATATCACTTATGAACAGTTAAATCGAGGCGCAAGTATATGAGCCTCCCAAAAATTTCACGTTCACGTGATGAATTATGCGTCACACGTTTTTACTATAGAACCCTAGCCACGGCCAAAACAAAGTGTCGGATCACGTGACGTCGATCCAAGCCATTGAAATATCCGATTCATATTAAAGGTCAAGTACCGTATTCTCCCGGAAATAAGCACCACTTGACTGCCATTTTTTGGACTCCAAAATAGGGGGCGGTGCTTATTTCTGAACAGTTTCTTGAATATCTACAGGATTTATTTACCACTCAATTATAGTTGGGAGCCTAAACCGGTGACGCTTAAGTGTCACTGGTTTCGGCTATAGAGTTGTAAAAACCCTATAATCCTAAACTATAACCTAAACCGTGTGTCAAATAGCATCACATGGTTTAGGTGCCCAACTATATCACTCAATCGCAATAGCAAATGAAGGTGGTGTCACGTTATTAATAAAAGATTACGAGATAAAGAGGAGTTAAACTGAATGATTTACGTAACAAAGGGTTTCTTTGTGGTTCTAGAGGTCTCCTGTGGCAGCTTGTACGCAAACTGACCAACGTAATAATAAGAATTAAAAAGGTTCAATTAATAATAACAACCGAAGGGCTTATTGAGACTGCCTTCAAGAGAAATTAAAATACGAAATAAAAATATCAAAATCAATCGTTGATGATAATTCACAGGACTTATTGATATGGCTTGTTAAAGGTTTAATAATCAAATCAATTCGTTTTAATCAAGTTCAAATGTATGGCTTATTTAAAGTAGAGGTAAAGTTTGTACGCAAACTTCAAAAGCAAATAAGAGAAGATGCTTTAATAACAACCTTTATCTTTATTTGATAATTTGATATGAGCTTCTTCTTTTTGTTTCAGTGAGAAGCTTCTATTTATACAATTTTGTTATTGAAAAAATATTATATCGTAAAACTAATAAATATTTAACTACTAAAAGAATGACTATGAAAACAGAATTCCTATTTGAACTTATAACGACTATAGTCGCATTATTACACAATAACATATTAGTCTTGATTTCCCGAATCAAGAAATTATCACGACTTCTACAACACTACAATCATATTCGTTAAATGAGATCAGATAAGAATAGTATAACGAATTCTACAATAGTGGTGTTTATTCCTGAACAGTCTAAATTAGGAAGATTTGTTCACTTCCCATCCATTGACCACAATTATCCCACTGCTTTGTTGGTATCACGCATCTCATGCATGCATGAGATGCATAATAATTTGATCTGTGAAAAATGCGTATCGTTACCTTTCCGCCAACGATCAACTCAAAACGAACCGTTCCTCATATACTGTTGCTGAAAAAATTGAGATTATTGCCTATGCAAATATTCATGGTGTACATTGTGCCAGATGACATTTCACAATCGACCATCCTATGATTTCAAGATGGATAAAAGATGCTTCTAAATTTCATCATGCATTAAAAAAATGTCGACGCGTCGGTTCTGATACACCAACAGCATATCCGGCTGCTAAAGAAGCACTTGTAAAATGGATTTTGGAATTTCGTCAAAATGGGCTCACTGTAACAATGAATATGATAAAGGATCATGAAAATCTTATTGGCAAACGACTTTGCTGAAACTTATCCAGATGCTAAAGATAAATTCTTGGCATCAGAATTGTGGTTTATCGATTTCCCAGCTAGGATTCCGAAAAAAGTCTGGTTCGGTTCAAAAATTCGAATCTAATTAAAGTCTGGTTTGAGTTTGGTTCAAACTTCGAACCTGACTCGAACCTGACCAAAAGTTTGGTTCAAGTTCAAATAAATATCTGTTGATATTCTAAGTAAAGTTGTAGATCTTAACATGAGCTACAAATTGATATAAGATAATTAATATTTAGGATGAATATTTAAAAAGTTATATGGGTTTAAAAAATAATTTTAATTATTACAATTTTAATCTGCTTTAGTTTTAGTATAATAAACATTTATTTTGCTATAGTAATCATAAATTACGATTATAAGTAAAGTTGTAATCAGAAACAAGAGCTACAAATTGATATAAGATAATTATCATTATTTGAAGAGTTATATAGCATTTATGATCAAATTTAATAAATATAAAAATAAAAATACTTTAGTTATCATTATGTAAAAAAAACTTTTAATTTTTACTAAATACTATTATGATATGAACTTTTAGTATATTAATTATCTTATCATTTATTGAACAATTCATATCATAATATCATTGGATAATATTTATTAATATCTTATTGAACATTAGCTAAAAGAGAGCTTATTCATTATTATTAGATAGTAAAACAAGCAATATGATTATAGCAAAGTTAGCAAAATAATTTAAACTAAACTAGCAATTGGATTCAAGCTAAATTAGCAATCTGATCATAACAAAAACAGCAATATGATTTTGTTATTATCTTGATGAGGCTTTCGAAATACTCAAAGATATTTATAAAATTTAAGGAATATTCAAAGGGAAACTTTCAATGTCTTAACGATAATTCAAAGTCTTAATAATACTTTATGACTTTAGACTGAATATAAACTAAAGTA